GCAGGAGCTCTGTCGCTTGAGCCCTAGCCCCAGCCATTTTGCTTCTTAGTGATTTTTCAAACAGCGTGTTATGTTTTTGCTTGGACTGGCCTGGACCACAATTCTGTTTATGCCTTCTGCACAGCTGGGATGACAGGCATATATCACCACACCTGGCTTACTGGTTGAGATGAGGACCTCACATCCTCAACATATTGTAGCTGTTTCAAGTTCATGGCTGAAGTTGCTTCAATTGAATATACAGAAAGCTACTCACCAAAAAATGCCTCCTTTTTGCTTTTTTTTTTTTTTTTTAGTGATACTGGGAGGTTTGAACTCAGGTCCTCACACTTGCTATGCAGGCACTCTACCACTTGAGTCACACCTCCAGCCCTTTTTGCATTTTTTGCTAGTAGAAGTCCCATACTGTCCCTTTGTCTACTCATCCACTTAATAGTTTTAAGTATTCTTTCATGATTGAGAGCTTTAGGATGATTTTTTGGAATAATTTTGAAATTTAATTTATAGAAAACTGCCTTCTGTAGGCTTATTTGATTGTAATTCTGAAAATGATTAAGAGAAATGGGATCACAGTATAGCCAATGACCTGAAGGTTATTACTGTACCACTTATATATATAAATGCTGCACATAAGCTATATATACATAAAAGCTGTAAAAACACAAAAAGACATTGCTTTGTTTTGTGTTATACAGTCATTATTCTGTTTATTATTATTATATAATAATTTATGGAATATGTGGAAAGCACCATAGTGAATCTAGAATCAACTAAATTAAAAAATATTTTTTTGAATTATCATAGTTTATTATAAATGAAATTTCATTGTGATAATTCCATACACACATACAGTATACCTTGAACAAATTCACCTCCTCTGTTATATTTCCCTTCTCCTTCTCCCTCCCTTTTCAAACAGTGGTCAAAAAGAAAAAAAACAACCTAACAGGGGCTGGAAATACAGCTCAGTGGCAGAGTGCTTGCCTGGCATGCATGAGGCCCTGAGTTCAACTCCCACCACCACCAAAAAAAAAAAAAAGAAGAAGGAAAAAAAAAAAACCTAACACAAACAGTGTTGGTGGGTTTCCTTACACTGTTCTCATGAGTATATATGTAGTGAACTTCCATTGTCTTCACCCTCAGTGACCTTTCCTTTCCTCTTCCCCTTCCCGCTGACCCCCACAGTCCTCCATATACATTCATGTTCCACCACTACCACCATCATCATTGTAGGTCTAGGTTTCACAGATAAATGGGAACACATGATATTTGTCTTTCTGAGTGTGGCTTATCTTGTTCAGCATGATGATCTCCAGTTCTATCCATTTTCCTGCAAATGATATAATTTCATTTTTCTTTATGGCTGAGTAATGTTCCATGGTATAGAACACATGTATACACACATGTATATATACATATACATATATATTTATGTGTGTATGTGTGCACACACTCATCATCTTTTCTTTTTCCTTTCATTGGTATTTCCACTTTTGGCTACTGTGAGGAGAGCTGCAGTAAACATGGGTGTGCAGGTATCTCTCTTGTATTTTGATTTACACTTCTTTGGATATATGCCCAAGAATGGTATGATCCATTTAGGGTTTTTTTTTTTTTTTTGTATACGGAGTGAGAGATGGGGTCTAGTTTTAGTCTTTTGCATGTAGATAGCCAGTTTTCCCAGTAACTGGATATTTTTTGAGAAATTTCTGTATTCACCAAATATTTATTGAGCGTGTATTATGTTAGGTGCTGGAGATATAAAAATAATAAGATGTTTCTGTGTTCAAGGAGTTGGTTGACAAGATAAATGTTGTATTACATACTTTGTGAGCATTAAGGAGGTTGGGGTAAGAATGGGGAAAAATGTGAGTGGTGGAGGAGGCCTCTCAAGAGCCAGTATCTATCTGAGTTTGAAGAATTACTAGGTTTTACTGGGGGAAGGGACTTTTCCTATGTAGGAAGGTACAGTTTAGTAGTTAAGAACAAAGATATTTGGAGTCAGCCGATTGGTTTGGAGTGGTTCCATTGCTTCTGATGGAAGCAAGGGATGTCCCTTGAGCCTGATGAAATGCTTAATGTGGTGACAGGCACACGCTAAGCGTTCACAAAGTGAAGGCAGCTGCTACTGTGGTTTTTATTAAACACCAAGCAAAGTCAACGCAGTAGATGCGACTGGTCCCTGCTTTGATTCCCTCCACTAGCTGATGTGGCTACACACCCTATGTGTTGTCCACTAATGCCTTAGAATTGCTTCCTTCTCTGGAGCCTCACCTCCTCTGCCAGGGCAGCTGTCTTGCCCAGGCAGACTTTCTTTGCTCTGTCCTGCAACCAGTAACTCACAGATAAGGAGATCTGAAAGGCCAGGCCCTCATCTCAGTGTAGCGCTGCCTAAGTGGCACAGTTCACTCCCTACGGGAGCTGAGGCCCCTGCCTAGCTTATTTCCCCTGCCCTAGTCCACTCTTGCCACTCCCTTTCCAATAATGCTACCTGAAATAACTACAGAATTCCTGACTCAGTCCCTCAACCCCAAAGCACTGCTATGAATCGCCATGTAACAGGCAGGACAGATTAGGGGCTAGATTGGGTAGGCCTTTGAATGCTTCAAGATGCTGTTCTACAGGCAATGGGAAGCCTGCACTTTATAAGATCACTCTATAAAGAGTGGTGTGAAAAGAGGCAAGAGGCCTACAGTGGGACTTTTTTTATTTTGGTGGTAGTACTGGGTTTTTGAACTCAACGCTTGCCATGCAGGCGCCCTCCCACTTGAGCCACTCTACAGTGAGACCTTCACCTCATCTAAGTAAGGAGTGGCAAGTCCCTCAGCATTCTAAATGATAAAATGGGGCTCCCAGTGTCTGCCTTGGGCCCTACACTCCCTAATAACTCAAACCACTACCTTGATATCATTGATCTCACCCTCCATATTGCAGACAAATATTTCCTACTACTTACTGAACATTTCCACTTATGACATTCCACACGGTACCTTAAATTCAGTGTAGCCAAAATTGAAGTCATGTTCTTCTTCCAAGACTAATCATTTGCTAGGAGTTCTATTTTTTTCATTTGGCATAACTATTTGCCTAATGATACAATCAGAAGCTTCTTTCATTCCTTCTCCTCACATTCAGATTATCTAAGACTTCTCAGTTCTTCCCCAACCCCTACAAATGACTCCTATGTCTCATTTCCCCTACTCAGAACATGACTGCTCTAGCAGGAGGAGCAGTAGATGTTTAAAAGAAAAGCACCAAGTTCTTTTTTGAACTGAGGGACAGACAAGAAAAGAACTAGTGCAATAGGAAAATGGTGATAGAGATGAGAAGAGAGCCCTAGAGAAGCATCTCAGCCCAGAGTGGGAAGGGTTTTGAGGAGGAGGAAAGTCTAAACCAGTATCAGTTCAGATAGCCATTGGATTTGCTAGGAGGCCACTGGGTGATCTTTGCTTGGAGGGGTAGAAGTCAGATGGTTGTGTTGCTAACCACCAAATGTGGTGGGACAATGGGGAAGTAGCAAGTAGGTACTTTTTTGTTTGTTTGTTTTTTCAGTACTGGGACTTGAACTCAGGTTCTTCACCATGAGCCACTCTACCAGCCCTATTTTTGTGAAGGGTTTTTCAAGATAGGGTCTCTCAAACTAGTTGCCCAGGTTGGCTTTGAACCGATATTTTCTAATCTCTGCCTCCTGAGTAGCTAGGATTACAGGCGTCAGCTGTGTTTGTTTGTTTCAAAGAAATTAACTGGTAACTAGAAGGTAGCAGTTTAAGGAAGAACAGAACTAGTGGAGATTAAAATGTCAATTAAAAATGGTTATGGGAGACTTTTCACCCATGTTTGCTGGATGAGGTGAGTGAACTTAGGGCTTGAGCCTTGGTTTGACCTCTTGTTCCAAAGACAGCTTCCCATATGGCCCTGGACAAGTCACTCAGTGTTTTCTCAGTTTCTGATGAGTAATCACGAACAGCAAACATTTCACAGGAAAACTGTAAGGGTTAAGCAAGATAATGCTATGTGGAAGAGATTTGTCAACTAAACTATTATACAGATATTAGTTGGTATTAAGTACATTGTTTATTTAAACCCTATATGCTCATAAAACTGTAAGCTGTTATAGATATACTAATATGTAGAGCTGAAAGTATGAGAGAAAGAGGAGGAGAGAGGATTAAAGGGAGGAAGTGAGAGAGGGGTGAATATGTGTGTGAATGAATGAATAAACACTGCTCCAGTTCAGAAAGCAGTTATTACTCTTAGCATTGCTTTGTGACTTCACAAAGGCACTCCCCCACCCCAGATTTTCATAATTGTTGTCAGAATTTATTTTCTGTGTCCTTAGAGGGGGACCTGTTGACTTGCATGGTTATGGTCTCAGTTCCTTTCAGAATGAGAAGAACACAATGCAGAATGGTTTATTGTTTAGGTTACCAAGATGACTTTTATTTGAAGTTGCAAATAGTAGCAATAGTAGTTACATTTGATAGTGGTAATAATAAGTGTTTGACAGCAACTGGTGCTGTCACTTTATATATTACTAAGCTAGTATATGGTCGATTTTAGCTTTATCTAACCCGATGGCTTTTATCCATGCTATCTAAATGATTCTAAAAGTCTTGGATCATACATTCTTATTACTTAAGGAAGACCTTTTTTTGGTCATTAATTACAATTTTATTCCATATGTTTGTTTCTTAAATTGAATAGTGACACTTTCTAAGCCTAATTTTAACCAGTCTGATGGTTTCAACTCTAATAGGGAGAATAACAGTAACTACTATGGTGGTAGTAAGATAAAACAAGCTAAGAACCACTTAGGATGTTGTCAGGCACAGTTGTTAGTGGCTGATGCTTTTCCTGTCACTAGCAGTTCTTTATAAATACTTGATTATATATGAAAAATACTAAGTGAACGGGCACTTCTACATAAATTAGTTGGAAAAAATCGTGGGATTTAGTTTTAAGTAAACTAAGAAAAGTAAGCTTCCTTAACAGTAGCTCAGACTCCATGCTGGTTTCGGTCGTGGGGATGGCACTGTACACCGGGTACGTCTTCATGCCTCAGCACATCATGGCCATACTTCACTACTTTGAAATTGTACAGTGACCAAGATGTGACCAGGATCAAGAGGCTCCTTGGGGAAGATCCACCCTATGAAGTTGGAGTGAGACTTCATCAGTTGTCAGAAGAAACTCAACCGGAATGAACATAAACAACCTTATACATACAAAGACTAAAATTCATGAGTGGAACAGGAAAATCATCCTGACTCATGTGTTGTGTTCTTTCTTTTTAATTTTAAAAGAAGCTCTTGTATAGTAGTTTTTGTCTATTTTAACATTGTAGTCATTTGTACTTTGATATCAGTATTTTCTTAACCTTTGTGACTGTTTCAATATTACCCTGTGAAAGCTTTTCTTAATGTAACTTTGAGTACATCTTAATTGCCTTCTATTTTTGAAACCCAAGGTCATTAGTTGGGCTTTACTGTTCTTGCTATTGTATGGCATATACATCTGCCTGGATATATTTCTACTCTTGACCAAAGTTTTGTAAGAAACAATATAAGATTTGGGGCAGGGGGATGGGGAGGGAGGATATTTTATTGAGAACTACTTACAAAAGACTTATCTGTAAGCTTGAACTCAGGAGTACAGTTTTAGCTGTCTATACTCTTAACAGCTTTTGCTTTAAAACTATTAAAGTGTTTCTTAGCAATGAAAAAGAAAATATCTTGCTAAACTTAATATGAAGAACATTTCACATTTTAACTATTTAATTCTTATGTGGACTTTGATTCTTGTGATGATAGATGGTTAAATAGCATTATTAGGTAATGCTTAGATACACAGTAGAGTTTCTCACAGAAGGTAATTAGCTTCCTCTGAGTCATTATCAATAGTGTGTCTTTCTTAAACTTAGTTTCATGATTGTAACAGGTGCTGCAAATGTATTTGCTCATTGTGATGTGATAAGATGAATTGTTCAAAACTATAGCAAATCTAAGAAGTGTAAACTTGGTTAAAATCCTTTCACTCTTTGTATTTTTTTTTTAAAATTTTTATTCCTTAGATGTAAAATGACTACCTAATTTTTTGATGTAAACTGATTAAATTCAAAGAGAAAAAAAATCAGCCAATGTAGAAATGTATCTTTTTCTTTATGGTTAAATAAATATTGATCTAGTAGTCATGTTTCTGAAATGATTCCTGTGAGGACCAGATAAGCAGTAAGTATATCTTTTTTTCTTTCTTTCTCTCTCTTCTCTCCCTCCTTCCCTCCCTCCTTGCCTCCCTCCCTCCTTTCCTTCCTTTTCATCCTTTCTGAGACAAGGTTTTGTTCTGTTGTCCAGGCTATACTGGAACTTGCTATGTAGCTTAGGTTGGCTATGAACTCTCCCTTCTATCAGCTTCCCAAGTGCTGGGGTTATAGGTTTGTGCCACCATGCCTGCCAGTAAATATATCTTAACATGTCTTAGAACCTAAAAGTACTACTAATTTAAAAAATTAGGTGTTACATACATATTTTAAGATGCTTTGCAGCATAAGTTTTGCTTATTTTAAAAAATTCAAGTATTTTTTGGCTCTAAATTTTAAGGACTAGAGTTTTGAAGTGCTTTCTAGTCCAGAGGTCTCAAGTAATAAAACTTCAGCCTTTTAAAAGAGTCTGTTAGTTGGGAGAAGGGGGATAAAGGAGAACGATGGAGGAGTGAGTTTAACTATGGTGTATTGTAAGAACTTTTGTAAATGTCATGGTGTACCCCCTAGTACAAAATAATATGATAAAAATAATTGTGTCACCACAATTGGTTTGGAATTATGAGCATAATATTTACTTACTTAGTTTTGAAGTAGTTGAAAATTGAATATGGTTATATATGAGCTGAATTCATATTCTCAGGCAAAATAGTGAATGAGGATTTAACTTAGGATTTATTCAGTTAATGCTCAGATTTCCCATTCCCTCATTGTTCCCCATAAAGAACTTCTGACAAGTGGTGTCTGATATCCTCTGGTGAGCTGGAGCTAGGAAAGTGTGAGAACCACTAATTTAGAAAGGTATCCGGATTACCTGCCTGGCCCTCTTCTCAGAAATCATAGTCATCCTCACTCTTGCTGAAATCCATTAAATTACCATTGTATAGCTGATGGTTGTTATGAATGCTGGCCTTATGTGGAAGGAAAGCTTAACTTCCAGGAAATCTTGAGGTGAGTTAGACAAAGAGGAGCATCACTGGGAGGCCATCAGAGAAGTATGTACTCACCAACTGGTCAAGTGTCCGGTTTGTCAGTAAATAACAAATGGGGAGATAATTTCCACTTTCTTTTTTAACATAAAGCATTTCTTAGACAATTCTCCTTGGCCCACTTGTCTTTTTGTATATCTTATAAGGAGAGGTACTGAGTGCCTTAGTTAAGAATGTTTTTCAGATGATAGAAGAGTTAAGAAAGAGATACGGCATTTTCCTCAGTTTGCTTAGAGCCTTGGAGGATAGAGGTGTCTCTTTCTGGAGCAAAGGGCTTTGTAAAAGATTTAGCGTCCACGTGAACCATTTGCTGGCTTCGAACTACAATCCTGATAGCTGCTTCCTGAGTAGCTATCATTGCAGGTGTGAGCCACTAGCACCCAGCTCCCAAGGCTGTTCTCACAGTCTTGCCAGTATTCCCTTTACTGAAGCTTGTTATATTTTTACTGATCTCTGGGCCATAACCAATGGCCTAGGGGTCTGGATTTCCACTTGGAAAACTATAGACGGGTAGGTTAAAAATACCTCCCTTTGGGGCCACGAAATGTGATAAATCACGGTTGATTGAGTCACCCATGTAGATGCTCATAATAAGGGCAAGTCTCTGGAATCATACTACCAATCAAAATGTCCCTTCCACAGCTACAAGAAAGGCAGAGATGGGAAGATTGTGGTTCAAGGCCAACCCAGGCAAAAAAGTTAGCAAGTCTGTCTCAAAAAAATCCAAACTGGGTGTGGTGGTGCATGCTTGGGATCCCAGCTACAAAAGAGGTAAAGGAGGATCACAGTCAGAGACTGGCCCTAGGCAAAAGTGCGAGACCTTTTCTGAAAAACAAAGTAAAGCAAAAGTGGGAGGGGGTGGGAGGAGAGGCTGACTCAACTGGTTGAGTGCTTGCCTAGCAAGAACAAGGTCTTGAGTTCAAACCCCAGTACCAACACAAAACAAAAAACCCAAAAAACAAAAACAACAAAGCTGTACCACCCAGATTGCCATCATTAGTGCCAGGATGCGTCATCCTGCTGGACATGACAAGCCATTCACCATTGTAGGCTTGGCATAAAATAAAAGATGCTGCTTGTGATGTGGAGGCCACCTGCAAGCCAGTCCTGTGAAAGTGTCCCAGTGAGGGAGGCCACTATCACCTCTGTCTCCCCATCTTGTCCCAGGTATCAGACCTTGATTGCCTCTTGGGATCCCTTGGGCCTCATTGGTGTTGACACTTTTTTTAGGTAACAGTGTTGCTGTTCCACGCTGACTAGTAGTTTCCAGCCATACTTCTGAGCCCTTGAAACTACTTTGTATTCAATTTTTGGCTTTCTGAGCCATTTGCAGTTGATAATGGCATGGTTTTCTTTTTGGCCTCAAAAGGTACTCAACAAAGTTCTGCTCATTCAGGTATTCAGTGGACAGTTCCCACTCCCTACCATTCACAGGCTTCTGATATTATTGATCATTGAAATAGCCTCAATTCAAATAGATTTTTGACTGTAGGTCCCTTATTTCCTCTTGATTTGCAACCTTCCTAAGGCACTTTGGTCATGGAGTGTGGTTTGCTCTGACAGAGATCACCTCCTCTCAGCCACTTCCTGCTTAATGATCAGGATGACCCAGTGCTATTTTAAAATTTGAGATTCCTTCTTGATCACTCCTGGGCATGATGCTTTCCTGCACGCTAATGGCAGTGACAACCCCAGGATTTCACACTTAATTCTGCCTCAGTCACCTGGATTCTTGTGGATTTGTAGGATTCTACATCATACAAATGGCTAGTCACCACTTGGTTGAGAACACGGCTTTGCAAGTCATCCTTGAAGGCCAAAGTGGGTGGGATATGAGTGTCTGCAAGTTTTATAAAAATGCCCAATCCCTTTTGCACTTGACTCTTGGATGAACGGTCTGAGTGTGAGTAGAGATGACTGGGAGAAAGGTGACTTAAAGGTACTGGGATGGTACAAACTGATCTGTGGTGATGGAGAGAAAGCAACTCCAACATCTGAGGGGGAGAACAGCTGGGGTGCCAGGAGGATGAGAAAGGAAGGATTTGTAGTAATTTTTTTTTTTTGGGTGGGTCTGGGGTTGTACTCAGGGCTTCATGCTTGCAAAGCAGGCACTATCACTTGAACCACACCTCCAGTCCATTTTGCTCTGGTTATTTTGGGAATGGGGGTCTCTCAAACTGTTTGCTCAGGCTGACCTCGAACTGTGATCCTCCTGATCTCAGCCTCTCCAGTAGCTGGAATTACAGGTATGAGCCCCTGGCACCCTGCTAGGATCTGTAATAGTCTTTTGTCTTCCAGTGGCACTCTGGGTCCTTCCTCAGGAAGGAAAATGCCCAAGTGCAACTCCCCCAAACTGTTGCAAATACCTGAAGAGGTAAAAACACTGAACCTTTCATTCTTTCCAGGTGGCTCTATGATTTTGATTGTCATTCCCATTCACCTTAGCAGACAAAGCAGAGGACAGCTTGGCTTCTGCATCTTCTATGCAAAACACTGGTTAATGCCTGGTTGTCCTTCCCTTTCCATTCTCATCACTATTGCTCAGTTGCCCTGTGGGTGAGTGAACACCACTTGTCTGAAGGCAAAGTTACCCAGGGAAGTTTGGACAGACAGCCCTCAGGCAGTCCCTCCAAAAACACAGACTAGACTCAATTATTCAAACTGAATGGGGAGTCCTAAAGCTTACCAGCTTGCCAGGTGTCCTCCTTGTAGGGACTGTCACCCTCTGCCTCCTGAATTATGGGTGTCTCACAGGGGCACTATGTGACTTCAGGCCTTTATTTCTTATGTGGAAGTAGAGAGTTAACTTCTGTCCTGACAACACACTTAGTGGCAATCACAACAGACTTTCAGACTTTTTATTTTGGTGGACTGGGATTTGAATTCAGGTCTTTTTGTTTACAAAGCAGGCACTCTACTCCTTGAGCCACTCCAGTTCATTTTGTTCTGTTTATTTTGGAGATAGGATGTCAAGAACTATTTGCCTGGGTTGGCTTCGAAATGTGATCCTCCTGATCTCATCCTCCCAAGTAACTAGGATTACAGGTGTGAGCCACTGGTGTCTGGCACATTGGTTATTTTTGAGATTGGGTCTCACTTCGGGTCTCACTTCATTCCTGGGCCAGCTCTGCACTGCAGTACTCTTGTTTATGCTTCCTCATGTAGCTATGATGACAGGTTCACTTCATCACACTCAGCCATGATTGAGATGAGGTCTCATGAACTTTTTGCCTGGGCTGGCCTCCAACTACAATCCTCAGATCTCTGCCTCTTGAGTAGCTAGGAATGTAGGTATGAGCCACCATGCTGGCTGTGACTTTCAGATCTTTAAGGAAACATCAGTGATTGTTCATTTGGCCCTCTGATGATCACAGAGATTTCTCCAAAGAGGCTATTCTTAGTTGTTGGAGAGATCGCTCCAGAAAGATAGTGGATTCATTATTTATTTACACTTTGCTGACAGTTACCTCTGTAGCAGTAATCATTCAATTTGAAAAGGTGGTAAAATTTAGCTGAAGTTACACTTGACACCACCTTGGGCCTAGAAAGAATTCAGGTCAGCGTCAGCTCACTAACCAGGTTTGTCATGGATGGAAGAATTGCCTTAGATTTCCTCCTCCACAGATGGCGATGCCTTTGCAATATCTGATACATCTTGCTGTGGCTGCTTAATGCCCCTGGTTATGTGGAAAAGGTCACTAGAGAAACTTAAACACAAAGCCTCTTGGCTGTCTAAATAGACCTTGGAGTCATATGGGATTGTGAACCCTGGGGGTCATGGTTGAGATTAATGCCATGGTGTGACCTCATCTTGGTGTGCAGAATCCTATTGGTAGTAGTCTTAATTGAACATCGTGTGAGACAAAGTGATTTGGTCCTAGGCTCTGTTGATCACATTAATTAGGGCAGCTGATGGAGTAACTTCATGTGGAAAACATTTCCAGAAGCCAGGCCTGTGTAGAAACTGCACAGTAGTGAAACTACAGTCTCGTGGATA